CGTAACTGCTCGAATCATTGCCGCGCTTTCGTAGTGGCGAACTCTTTTTCCTCCGTTGTGAACGGTTCGATGAATCCGACGAGACGTCTGAAAACTCAATGAATACTTAGCCACGAGTTTTGATCCTACTAATACAATCACAAAACTTGACGCACCCTCGCTTGAGTCTGACGAACTCCGACTCTCTGAACTCTCCCTTTTTCTTCGAAGAGGTGCCTTGGTAGCTAGTTCTAAATATGAAAATGGAAGTTAATTATGAACCAGCCTAGAATATTCTAGAACGCATTGGATTTCCACTGCAATGATAATAATAAACATAATAAAATTCTACCTCGATCTTTCCTTGAACCTCGCCTTCCATTTCTCTCCGAGCTATCCGTCCGCTTACGTGAGCTCTCCTCGGTTATTTTTTCTGAATATGACGGATTACCGGAGACAATGCATAAGCACAAAGTGATAGAAACAGCTTCATCCACTTCAAAGAACTGTTTCTTACCTTTTTTGGTGACCTTGCTATTCTTTTTGCAGTTATGCCGATGGGAGGGCATCACTGAAATGAACAAAAATTTTAGGAACAAAAAGCGAATGTGGGTTCGCTATGAAGAGTAAGGTAATATGAAATGAAAAAACTAGAATAGAAGAAACTGGTAGAAATATGCAGCAGTTACCATCACTTTCATCAGAATCACTGTCCGAAGCTTGTTTTCCCCCTTTCGACTTGTTATCATTGGACTTGTCCTTCCTTAGTCTGTTTTCTAGAATTAACTCGAATAAATCTCATTTTTTTCAGGATCGAACCCAGACATTTCTAACACGAACCAGTCGGGCCGCCCGGCTAACGCCGGGCTTCCCTCCTTTTTATGGGTTCGCCCGGCTACGCCGGGCGCTCCTCTTTCTGTGAGCAATTTGCTATGCATGAATAACACTTCGAATTCTCCTTTTTCCTTGAAAGCTATACACCCTCAGTATTAGCTCCGAATTAGGAGCGATTTTTCTGTAGGCCATCTTCGCTGTGTCCGGATAGAACATCGCATAATATCACAAAGGCGACTACTCTTAGGAAAAAAAGTATTCAGAGACTTCATCACGGCTGAGTCTACTATGTTGGCTACCATCAATGTTCCCAGCCAATTCCTTGTGCCTTCAAATCTCAACGGTCTGCGTCCGAACTTATAGTATTTATTCACGCCCAGCCCTTTGGGGCGGAGTTCATTCTTGCAACATTT